ATATAAAAATGAAAAGTGTAGGCATTTAAACTCAGCCTTAGCCTGGCCCTTGCCTTCCTCAATTCTAGTTTCCCTTCACTGCTTCGTCTGGGATTTCTCCATTAGACAAGGATTTTGCTGGCAGATTTTTAGCCGAACCAATCAGAGAACAGAACGTCGATTTTCTGCACAGTGTCTGCTTGTAGTTTATTTTACCTGGGCCAATCAGCAAACAGAAGGTGGAGTTTTGAACGTCGATTTTCTGCGCAATGTCTGCTAGTTATTTTAGCATACGGCAGTGGAGGAAGTGAATGAAGCCAGTCCGTGTTGAGAAGGCTTCCAAATTAAATTAAATTTGTCTGACAAAGCAGCAGCTCTCATTTACAGCCATCTCGTTTGGCTTAGTACTTTTCTCCTCTCAGTAGGGTTGTTTACAGCACACACAATTTCCGGTTAGCTTCTTAGCTTAGCATCCTTTACAGCGACTTACACACACACACACACTTCAGCAGAGGCCATGCCTCCAGCAAGAAATCGCTTCTCTTTAGCCGCGAGTGCAGACCCTTGTACGAAGCAAAGTGAAGGACAATGGTCTGGTTTTTAGCAGGCTAACTCAGCCTCCTTTACTCCAATACCCTTAACAAAAGTCCAGTGCAACCAATAGAAGTCACCTAATTTGTCCCCTGCGTGTAATTGAATCTCAGTATAAATAGACCTGTTCTGTGTAGGCCTCAGAGGTTTGTTATTGAGCATCAGTGCTCAAACAGTATCATGAAGACCAAGGAACACGCCAGAGAAGTTAGGAAACAATATGTTGGAATTTAAAGCAGGTTATAAAACAATATCTCAAGCTCTGAACATTTCATAGATGGTTTCTATTCTTTGAAAACAGAAAGAGTGTAAAACATTTGCAAACCTACAGAGACATGGCCGTCCCCCTGCAGGAGAATGTTAATTTGAAAAGCAGCCAAGGATCTCATGTCTCTGGAGGAGCTGCAGAGATCCACAGCACAGGTGGAACAGTCTGCCCGTAAGATTAACTATTAGTTATTCACTCCAAAATCTGCCCTTAGTTGCAAGTAGAAAGTTAAGAAGAAACTTTAAAAAGTCTCTTTTTTTTCTTTGCTACATTGGGACACAGCAACTTGTGGGGAAATGTGCTTCTGTTCTTAATGTAATATCCTTTAAATGGCAGAACTCTGACACTACCATCACCCTGAATGCATGCATCCTCACTGTGAAACACAAGGGTGACAGCATCATAATGTGGGGATGAACAGGGTCAGGGAAGTTGCTCAGAGTCAATAGGAAGACACAATGAACTAAAGAGCAGTCCTGGAAGAAAACCTGTTGGATCAGTGGTTCCCAAAGTTGGCGTCGAGACCCCACCGAGGGTCCTAAAACATTAAGGTTTGGTCATGATTAGCCTGGTTGAAACCAGACCCTGTCCTTCACTTTGCTTCGTGCAAGGGTCTGGACTTGATGCATAAAGAAGCGTTTCTTGCTGGAGGCGTGGCCTCTGCTGAAGCATGTGTGTGGTGTCGGTGTGAAGGAGGCTAAGCTAAGAAGCTAACCGGAAATCGCGTGTGCTGTAAACAACCCTACTGAGGGGAGAAATATACCGAGCCAAACGAGACGACTGTAAATGAGAGCTGCTGCTTTGACAGACAAATTTATTTTAATTTGGAAGCCTTATCAACACAGACTGGCTTCATTCTCTTCCTCCACTGCCGTATGCTAAAATAATTAGCAGACACTGCGCAGAACATCAATGTCATTCAAAACTCTACCTTCTGTTTGCCGATTGGCCCAGGTAAAATAAACTACAAGCAGACACTGCGCAGAAAATAGACCTTCTGTTCTCAGATTGGCCAGGCTAAAAATCTGCCAGCGAAATCCTTGTCAATGGGAGAAGTCCCAGATGTCGCAGTGAAGGGAAACTAGAATTGAGCGGAGCTGCGTAGGAAGGCAAGGGCCAGGCTAGGTCATGGTGGCTTCTAACAATGTTTTTTGTCTTAGTTGTTACAAAGGAGTGTGGTTGTACTTAAAAATGAATAAAAGTATCATAATGAATATGTCTTCGTTTATTTGACCATGATACCAATGATTATCAGCCAAAAAGAGCTGGGGCCACAGGTATCCTGTTATTTTGTGGGTCAAACGTTTGGGAAGCGTTGCTCCAACACACCTGATTTGCATGAATGGGTGACTCTACAGAATTTGAGGAGGTAATTCAATCACTGATGCAGGTGTGTTGGAGCAGGGAAACAAGGAGAACGGATGCAGGATAGCGGCCCACAAGAACCAGGACTGGACATCTGTAGTTTAGATCAATGCGTAGTCATGTGTTTCAGGGCAGGATGGCTATTTAACTGCATGTGCTTTTTTTTCTCAATTTATTTTAGGATGAGGATTATTTCAACATTTTTAAAGAAAATTGAAACCAAGCCAAAAAGTTCATTGTTCCATAAGCAGATTACACTTTTATTCCCATACCCCTGATGGCTGGACTGAAAAAATTTCGACCATGCAAAGCGAGCAGGACCCGACAAAAGATGACATTGGTTTGTCAGTTCTGGGTGGTGATGCTCAGAGAAGAGCCCATTATGTGGCTGTCACACAGTATTAGACGATACAGCGAATCCTTTCATGTGTGGATTACCTTTCTCCCTTTCGGAGATAAGACATATTTTGTGTTAGATAATCCATTTCTCTATTGTCTTTTTTCTCTTCTTTTTAATAACTTCTTGCAAGCACGCAAATTGTAGGCACAAAAATATGCACACGTGAGACGCTGGAAAGAAGCCATGTGTTTGAAACAAAAAAAACTAACTTTTTTGCATTTACAAAAACAGTTTTGACAGCTTTGTTTAGTATTTTAAATGCATTTTGTGTTACTAAAGTTATAATTCAGAACACATCAATCCTATCTTGAGGAATTTTTGAAGGGGTGGGCTGGGGTATTGTGTATTTTCCAGACACATTTCAATTCTATAACACAATCAAGTTTACCTTCAGTTAAAAAGCTGTATATACAGTATCAAAAATACATTTGATTTTGCATCATAGCCTATCTAAACATCTTGAAATTGGCCTCTAGCTCTTGCAGAACCTCCTACCGTTTCCGACACTTCCACTTCAACGTGTCTTCACAACAATGCATGCACAATTAATCAATGCCTCACAGCAGGAAGGTCCTGGCTTCGATCTCCAATTCGGACCTCGGTTCATCCTGTATGGAGTTTGCATGTTCTCCTCGTGCTTGCGTGGGTTTTCTCTGGGTACTCCTGTTTCCCCCACCCTTAAAAACATGTACAATAGGTTGCCTTCAGGCCCAGGCCTCCCTTGAAAAAGAGACCTGAGATCTCAATGGAACTTCTCTGGATAAATAACAGAAAATAATAAATAACTAGACATGGGTTTTTACGGTGTAAAAATAAGTGTGCATCATTGCAGCATGGCTTTGCCTGCAGCAGTGGACTTGCAGAATGAACTGTGACCAAGTTCAAATATGTTTTCTATACCAGTTTGTGCTTGTCGTCAGCAGGTGTTTGTAATAAGGGTAATTGTGTGAAAATATGAAGTTTGTAGAGATTTTCTGTTAAAGTTGTTGTTGCTGGGTTTCAAACCCTGATCTCCCACATGAAAGTCCATGGCAGTAACCATGAGACCATTGGAGCTGTGGTAGAGAACGAGGCCAGGGTTTGGTTTGTATGTGTGCAGAAAGAGGCCACATTGCCAATGCAATGGTTGTCACTAATTTGAAATATATTACAACAATAAAGCAATATAAGGACAATGTTATAGTAAAACATCAAAATACAATCATATTAGTATTGTAAACACTGAACTATTGAGATTAAATGTTATTAAACTATGGTGCAGTACTGGGTAGATACAGCAGGGGCAGTATTGGACCAATACAAGTCTCAATTGACTCCCAATATATAATTTTAAATATTAATATTTCAAAAACTATAAGTTGTACAGGCACCAAAAGGCATATCCATCATTTGGCACAGGAGCTTTACAAATATAAATTACAATGGCAGCTCTAGGACAAAGTATGCAGGAGGAGAAGTGTGCCAAAATGGAGATGACTTGGATGGGAAACTAATCACAATAATGTGCATTACACTGGCAATGCACACTGATAAAAATAATTTTTCGTGGAAAGGGTGGTCTTTGGGGCGGAAGTTTGACTAAGTATTGAGCCCCAGGGAGGAGTGATGTACAAATAGGTGGTGCTTTGTACCAGCAAGTGTTTAGGCAGCTCCACATGGCTACCACAGGAGATTCAAGGATTTCTCTTACATGCATGAATGAGTCAAAGCAACACTCTGGGTATGTATTTTATGAGGGAATGACAACATGTTATAGGGCTTAAAAAAGAATGTTTTTGCACAATACTCCCACCCCCTCAAGTATATATAACTGGATATCACTATTTATGACTAGCTTGTAAAAACAGAAGTGCTCATGTTGTGCAAATAATGTGTGAAGTCATGTAGTCATCTTCAGTTTAGGGATTTTTTTTAGAAATAAATAAAAATCAACCTCTGTAAAAAAGTCTGTCTTCTTTTTTTCCTTCCTATCCCATTCTTATATTATACTATTACTGTCCTAATGTGAAATTTACACACTAAAATACCTAGTATTTCAAAGTTATTTTTAGTCAACATAAGCTACAGAACTCAACCTTGTTGGGAAAAATGTTTATGTTTATGTTTCTGACATACTGTACATCTCTAACTTGGAACCAGATTGAAGCAATTTTACTTTCACTTACTCTACTGGTGTTTTCACAATAACATTGTATGTTACTCTCACATAATGTTTATGGGAGTAACTTTACTAAGATTACCATTCACTGTTTGGATGTCAGTTGTACTGGCTCATGCACAAGCTTTAAATATGAATATATATCTTGCTAAGGACTTTTTGCTCATGTTTTTTACAGTAATAAACTTAACACAAAAAGTAAGGAAATTTGTGTTTGGTAGATTACTCCTTTACTTCTTGGCAATAAATCTTATACAGTTGGAAAACTTCCCCTTTAAATGGTGCCACATTTGTAAGGAACATACATTTGTGCTCAAAATTCCTGTATCAAAGAATTCATTATAAAAACAAGGTTTAAGAATCACAACAGAATGCTTCAAATGATACAAAATAGAAATGCAACTTTCCTCAGTTTATAGGTCTTGTAATACAGTTGAAGAAATTCTTCAACTAAACCAGTGTCCAAATATCACAATATAAAAATTACTCCTGACGTACATTTAACATGGGAAGCACTTAATAAGATAATGATTAGGAAATAAAACAGTAGAGAAAAAAAGTTGGAGTACAACTGTCAATCAATACTTCAGTCACAGTAGGAAAAATATAGGTTTGCACTTAAATAGTCTTTTCTTTTCTTTTTTGGCTTACGTGGTTTTCAAAATTCCTCTTGCCTTTTGTCACACTTAGAACTTATTACTTCCTCTTTGGTGTTCCTGTTGAGGAATGCAAACTCAGATGTTTAGCGTCTGGGCATTCTTTGTCCTTGGCTTTGGCACAGGCGATGATCGCTGTCCTTCAGCAGCTGGGAACATCTGCAGAGGCCTGTTGTCAGTCTGAGCGTAGGGCTGGGAGACGTTCTTGTAGCAGGCTCTCGGTGAAGGCTTGGGACTCGGGGATGGAGAGCTTTGGATGTTGTGCATGGCCTCATACTCGGGGCTGATGGGCTCAGCTTCCTGCTTTTTTACAGAAAGCATCTTTATTTCCTGTTTGTCTCGGGGGTTTGTTTGAGGTTTTGTGCGTCGGACGCAGCAGCATAACGCCACCACAGCGATGAGCAGAAAAAAGATCAGCCCCGCTCCTCCTGCCAGCACTGCCACAACCACCTGAGGTTTAAAACAAAGCAAAGGTGCTTTACATGCTGGACGAACAGTCTCGCTGCTCTCCACACTGACTTTGTTTGCCACGCTACAGGCAAAGGTTCTCTCCTCTTTCAGATGGCTCAGGGAAATTCTCAGAGTTTGTTTTGTTTCTCCCAGTAAAGTCTTTTTATTAAGCGTCCATGAGAAATCCAAACCCTGAGGTTTGGCAACATTGCAACTAAAGTTAACAGCGCTGGAGTCACAGATATGATCCAGTCGAGGCTTTGATACCTTCTCCATCACACAAAGACGATCCATCCACGCTTTAACAATCGTGCCGTTAGAGTGTGAGATGTTTGCTTCATAGATCCCTGCACTTGAAAACCCAACGTTCTTTAGCAAAATGGATCCAGTTGCATTGATGTCTTCCGGTTTCCCCTTGGTCACTCTACCTTTTTGTTTGGTGAAAATTATTGTTTTATTATGAGTCCATCTCAGTGAATGGGTGTTTCCCAGTCCTCCAAAGGCAAAAGGCAAAGTCAGACTTTCACCGACAGCAGCATAGAGGTTACATGTATTGTTTCCTGCTGAGAGATCGATGAGTACTGGGAGAAGGATGAGCCCAACAGCAACAACGAAATGTGCCATACTATGCAAAAAACCAAAAAAACAAAACAAAAAAAAAAAACCAGGACGTCCAAATGTTACAGTTACCGGTAAGTCCTTTTGGCATTGAAGACAGGGTGAAAGCAGATGTAGTCCTGTTGGATTTGCAGCCTAGAGTACAAATGTCACATGAATGGTGTGCTTCCACCCTTTTAAAGGAAGAGACTGTTGAGTGAGAGAGAAGTTATTACTCAAGAGTCTGCTTTCATTTCTCAAAAGGCAACTAACTAAATGCATCAGCAAAGTCATATGACGGCTGATGTTTTCTGCTTCTGTAAGATTCCATACACGCAGTTTTACCAAGGGTCACATGGTTTAATAAATTAATGAAAACACAACACACCTATTCAACTGTAGTTTTCACTTGATGCCACAAATACAGAAATGCTGTTGCTGCAACATGCAATACTCTGAGAAGAAAAAAAGAAAATCCCACAAGCAGCAGTTGTTATTTAGATTTGGCCATGGAATAAATTTGGTATCAAGAGAACCCAGGAAAATATTATTATTTATTCTGTAAAGAAAATAAAATCCAGCAACACAAATAATATTTTCATAAAATGTAACATGAACACAGCATATTAAGTTACTGAAATTATGTGAAAGATATGAGATTTATCACTAGCCAGATATTTATTTCCCTCCTGGCTTTAGCATCATTCTTCCTGCTTATTGGTTTTTTGCCTGTCAAGCAAAACAAATGATTTTTATTTGGCTAATCTAAATTGGTTCAGGGTGGCTGTTATGATAAAGCAAGTGAATAATGAGAAAGTCCAAGTTTATGTAAATATATGTTACAAATGTGGTGGATTATGCTCATTATTTGAACAATCTGAGTGCAAATGATACTTGCACTGTTAGCTGTCGCCCACTGCCATGAAAGGCCTGTTGCTGCCTGTGTTTGTACATAATGTGTTCATTTGTCTGTCTGTTAGCAAAAATTCCACTGGATGTGTTTTATTTGAACATAAACACTGGATGGACATCTTCAAATTATTAAGATCTATTTTTCTTCCATATATGTATTGTGGCACATGTCTTGGTCCAAAAAAAATTGTGCTAGTTCAGCACTTTATATATTAAAACTTTTAGCTCCTTCAGGAGCCCTGTGATGGACTTGCGACCTGTCCAGGGTGTACTTCGCCCCTCGCACTGTGATAGCTGGATATGGGCACCAGTGACCCACGCGACCCTGAAAAGGAAGAAGCGTGTACAGAAAATGGATGGATGGATGGATAGCTCCTTCAGGATATTCCGGCCTTGACTTTTGGTATTTTAGTACTTTATAGTGTTTCAGATATTTAGCTTTTTCTGCTGCTTCTTTTCTCATTGAAACTGAATGGAGATGTTTTCAACATCAATAAAACCCTTTAAACTGTTCAAAAATCTTTACTGTACCTTTTACTTTTTGTTCTGTTTATGCTTTTTTACATAGTTTTGAAAGTATCAGATTTTGTTGGCTTTTATTTTGTTGATTTTAACTTTTTTTTTCGCTTTTATAGCTATTACTCTGACCTTTGCATTTTTCAGTTAATTGAAAAAAAATATTTGCACTTCCTTCTCCTAATTTCAGCCCTTTCTGTGTTTTTTAGTTACTTTTTTTTTTAGCTAATTTTAGCCAATTTGGGCTTTATTCAGCTAAATTAATCTTTTTTGGTGATAATTACAACTTCATCACACGTGCTTTATCTGTTTCTTTGTGCTAAAATCAGCTACTTTTAAGCTTTTTAGGACAGTTTTAGCTTTATCAAAACAAACTGCAAGTACTTCTTTTCTTGGTTTTGCTCATTTGAAATTGTCACTCTCATTCTCCTGTCTGTTAATTTTAACTAGCTTCTACTACTTTCAGCTTGTTTTTGCTAATTTTAGCTACTTTATTGCTTTTTTGACCCCTTTTTTGCGATCTTTACACTGACATTTCACTTTTGTTGTCTTACTTTCAGCAAAAATTCATATTTAACTCGCATTAAGATTTGTTATTAAATCCTTTAAGCTTGATTTTCTGCAGCTTTCAGCAACAATCTTTCAGCATTAAGCCAGAAAACAATTCCTCTAAATAGTCTTTTAATTCAAGTTGGGTTTCGAATGGGTACATCTAAAAATGAGATTGTCAGTATTGTGGTTCAATGCATAAACGATTCACCTTTGAAAAATAAACCACCTGCAGGTAATAGACAGATTTTTGTAAACCCCCCCCCCAGCAGCTTTTCCAGTAAACCAATGTTCAGCGAGCATCCAGGAATAACTCACTCCATAGATTTTTTTTCATCCACAACTTTTCAAAGTATACCTGCCTTGGCTCAAGCTCCAATAGAGTGAGTTCATTGTGCACAGAGCAAACTATATAATTCCACACAATTAGCAGTGATTCACACTCTTTCTGTAACTCTCTGCACCTTCAAAGAGACACGTGGCATGACAAACACCTGTTTCTCCTGGTTTCACTGTCATTAAACATTTTCCCTCCCTGAGGCATTCCATTGATGGAGGTGTCAGTGATTCAAAGGGGCTGAGCGCTGAATGCTATAAATTCTTGGTTACCACTATTGTTTCAGGAACATGTTCCCGTCACCACAGCTTATAAACAGAAACATGTGTAAATTCACATGACTAAACAAATATTACAAAATTAAAGGTACTTGTTGTATACATGAAATCAAAAGTATAAAGCATTATCCTACATCAAATGGTTGAAAGGGTTCACTCCAGTTTTCCAGATATTACTGAGTGCCATTCTGAAATGCAGGTATGCACTCACTGTAAACAAAGTGCCCAGCTTCAAATATTCTGAACTATACTTTTAACCTCCTATATCAGTGTGAACACTAAACACACAGTCAGCACCTTGACCTCATCACATATGTTTCACTTCAAATACACTTAGCTGGATTCTGGCCAACACAACAAAACATTCTAATAAATTCAAACTAAGTGCTAAAATCAATCTTAGAAATTATTTGGCATGTTTACCATAAAGGAAGCTAAGTTAAACTTTGTGGCTTGTAAGAAAAAAAAGACAGAAAACATTTTTGAATTTTTCCATTTGTACAGCTGTTTTAATCTCAGAGCCTTTCCCTCTGATGTGAAACAATTTTTTTTTTATTGATGAGGCTTCCTCAGTGTCACTTGTTTGGAATGAAAGCTTGTTGTTAGGCCACATGAGAGATTGTCAGCATTTGTTCAAAAGGATGTTTAAAATATCCTGATGCATCTCAGTAATCCAGGTAAAAAATCAAAAAGAAAAAAATTGTGTAGGTCTTCTTCAAAAGAATGTCCCAACACAGACGAGCTACATCTAATGGCCAGAACTCTGCAGTTTTCACTCATTTACAGGCCAGCGGTCACTCTTTCAGAGATGAGGATGTTCTCATTCTTGATAGAGAGGAACGTTGGTTTGAGAGAGGAGTAAAAGCCATTTTTGTGAAGAAAGACCGTCCATCATTAAACAGAGGTGGAGGCCTCCGTTTTCAATTGTCCCCCTCCTACAGCGCGGCCATTGCCAGTATCACTCCACCCCCTGTTAACAATAAGTGTTAATTAGGTGTCAACGATAGCCATGTGATGTGAGTATCAGTCACATGGAGGCAGGACTCAAAAGCCTGAATTTTGCCTGAAACTCTCAGACTGAAGAAGTCTCTTGGAGAAGAGACGAAACGTTTCATTAAAGAAGAACCCGTCCAGAAGACCTATACAATTTTTTTCTTTTTGATGTTTAAAATAAATATGATGCTGCAGACTTCTGCTTTTTTATTTTTATCTGACCTTACCTCACTTCACTTATCTCCTCATCATGTCAGAGGAATTGAGATACAGGGAAAAGAAATGTACATATACGTATGTAGATTTTGCTTACTGTATCTTAAAATCCAATAAACCATAGAATCTGTTACACATTTTACCAAGATGTTGATAACTGGAGTCATTCCCATAAATTGTAGCTTTTATGATTTTATACAAACATTATTCAGTGTATCTGTTGAGCTGCCCTCCTAATTGGCTACACAGCAGGATCTAAATAGATCAAACATGGGTTAATTGGCCCTGGGTCTTGGTCCCTCAAGGTGTGAGGGAGGGAGTCCATCTGGGTACCTGATGTTTAATTCAGGGGCCCAGATGGAGCCCTAACAGCCTGGCTGAGAGATCCTTGACTCACACTTTCACCAGACGTGACTGGATGGCCCCAGGGAATGAGGCAGGGGTGTGGAGGGACCCTTCTGGTCCCCAAAGTCAATGTTTTCTTGGGACGGTGATTTCAGAGTTTAGGTACTTTGAACTTGATGGAGAAGGGTCTGGTCTCACCAGGGTTGGCGACAAGCTCGTTATTCAAATAGCTCATAATGAACAAACATAAATCTGCATGCTCAGTAAAATTAGATTAGTTTTTATACTGAAAACAGTCTGGACTTCAATAAACAATTAAAACAAAATAAAAAAAGATTCTAAATGCTATTTATCAAACTAATTATAGATAGCAGTCAGCTGTGCAGACATCAGTGCATCACTAAATTTGTCTTCTCTCCTACGGAAAAAAGTTTTCAAAAACTGGAGGTTTGTGATGTGGTTGCAGATTACTTGTTTGCTGTGTCTTGTGTTTTGCCTCTGAACAAACCAACATTAGCATTTTAATGTTTTTACATGTGAATTTTTTACAGTATTATAAAACACGTTTTGAACGTGTTTTCATGTAGAATTGAAACATAAAATGAGTTTCAAATGAAAATTCAAGATTTGCATTGGTGAAAACGCGTAACAATGGTTTCTTTTTGCTCACTGTGTGGTTTTGTAACATTTTTAACATGTGATGGTTTTTCTGTAAGACAAAGACCAAATATGATTACTGCTTTGTTAATATGTTAGGCCTCAAAGGTTTTCCTGAAGTTTGTATTTGAAACACAACAAATGTAATTAATTCAAATATACAGTAAATAAACATTTACAAAATATCACGAATAAGGCAAAAAATGATGGAAACCATAAACTCAGTTGTAAAAAAAGTAGAAAAGGGTTAAATCTAAAAATATATTAAATATAGTAGTGGAATAAAGTGGTGTAAAGTACTTGGGGCATGGGGCTTAAGCAGTTAAAAAAAACTCGTCTCAAAA